AGAAACCTTGAGATGTCCTATAACCAAACCTTTTGGTCTCATCTCATTTTTATATTCCATGCTCAAGTTATAAGCTTTGGAAAAAAAGTGTTTTTGTTGACTTTCAAAAATGACCTATAATGTCCAAATTTGTAACTTTTTGTGAGTGCATTTCTTGATCTTGGGGTGTGAATAAGGATTGTAGGAAATTGAATTATATTCAAAATGAGATTTGGATGGGTCATTTCTCATAAAGTATGAGAAAGTTATGCTTGGTCAAAGTTGAGTTGACTTTTCCTACAAAACCCTAATTTAGCAACTTTTGAATCTTGATGAATCTTGAGCAATCCTTGATGAATCATGATCAACCCTTGATCAAATGATGAATTATCCTTCAAAATTAGAATGTTGACAAAAAATCTTGAGGTTTGACTATATTTGGGACACAATTGACTTTTGCCCTAGCACAGTCGATTCTTGGACCTTTTGAGCATTTGACTGACCAAACTTTCTCTGCAAGGCTTGAATTTTGACATGGATGAACTTGAGAACATATTATGATATTGGGGAGAATTTGAGGCCATTTGGATGTAAGGACCTTGATGCAACACAAAACCCTAATTTTGAATTGACTGCCTTAGGAGGTGATTTGACTGTCCAACTCTTGAGCTAACTTGAGTCACTTGGAGATTATTCTTGACATGTCTTGAGAAATATGGGAGGGAAAATTTTGGGGTACAACATATACTATATGAACATATGTTCAAAAATCAGATAGATTCAATACTGTTCAAAAGTTGAGAACTTTCTGAAAGTTAAAGTTATCTTGATTTTGGGATCATAATGTTTAGAAGATGTAAAATGTATGAAAATATGATATTCAGAACATAAGAATCAAAAGTAGAAGCAAATGTCTTCCAGAAGAACATAGCAAATCAGAAGTTAAAGACTATCTGAAACTCTAGAAGTCAAGACTCTCAAGATCTCGATATCTGACCTATTGGAACTAGGGGAGTTTTACTCAAATAGTTCAGAGTCAGGATATTTGATATTCATCAAGTCATTGACTCAAGGGGAGTATCATAAAAAGGACAAGTATTCCTTACCTTTCTATTTTCACTTCTTCTGATTATGAGAACAAAATTGTGTTATCAAAATACATGGTTTTGTCATCATCAAAAAGGGGGAGATTGTAAGAACAAGATTTGGTTATGTAAAATTATCTGAGTTTTAATGATGACAAATGCGTATGATTGTATGAATAATTTTGTTGTACTAGTGTTTGTTATTGTTGAATACTTAACAAACAGGTTATGCTTCTGATAAATGGTGTGACCAAGATATTAGAAGAGAATTAATTCCTCTTCTATGCTACATAAGTTATGTTGAACAATAACAATACACTCCAGAAGGTTCTGAAGTGTAATCCCTGATATTTGTCTAAAGAAACCAGTCAGAAGATCTGAAGACAAAAGTTGTTACTTACGTCCAGATTTTGGAGACTTAAGCTTCTAAAGACACCGTGTTCTAAGGAAACAGTCAGAAGATCTGAAGGCAAAAGTTGTCACTTAAGTCCAGATGCTGAAGAATCACGTTTCTAAAAGACAGTGTGTTCCAAAGAAACAAATTCAAAAGACCTGAAGACAAAGTTTCTACTGAAGTTCAGATGCTAAAAACATAGTTTCTAAAAGACAACTTGTTTTAAAGAAGACAAAGTTAAAATATCTAAAGACAACGTTTCTAACTGAAGTTCAGATGTTGAAGACTTTATGTTTCTAATAACAAGGTTCTAAAGACAAGGATTATTAAAGAACCAAGTGCTAAAGATTATAGTGACAGAAGATCTGAAGATTCCAAAGACTTGAAGTTCTAAAGGTCCAAGGTTATCTACAACAGGTTCTCAAGACCAAGTGCTAAAGACTCTGAAGACTCTGAAAACTTGAAATTCTGAAGACCTTATGTTATGTTCCCGCTTCTAACCTCATGCTTGCAGAAGCATCTGAAGTGCAGAAAAAAATAATATAAAGGTAACATGGTACAATAGTACACAATACGGAAAAAAGCTTTATGCCACTACCTCTCCACTAACTTAAAGTGTGGAAGAGATAAAGACATAGTAGTACTATTTGTAACGACTCTTTTTAAATAGCCAACGACTCTATTTTGCTTGGCTATATAAGAAAATAATCATATGTTTAAAGTTGTTGATGAGCTTGCTGTATGTTGGTTGGTTGTTTGCTAAAAGTTGCAAGTCGCAAGTTGTTGATGTTCAATATTAAAAAAACAGAAAGCTATCATTATTGGAACACAACCAAAAAACTATCATCCACTAACAACAACCAGAAAAAATGTTATCACAATGATTCTTCAATCATGTTGATACTGATTACAATTAAATCATAGATTCACAATGTTCTTAATTTCATATGCTGCACAAAGCTTGCTAAGCCGTAAAAGATAACGAGGATGATCATGAAAGCTCCAGTTACAAATCCACAAGATAAATATTTTGCTCTAAAGTGATCATTGGAAAAAGTAGAACAAAGGCTGTTGTCCAGAATGTTCTAAAGTGAATCTGGATGAAGAAGTTATTCTCTTTACTACATCAAGATCAACAAAGCTTTCAAAAGCTTATGAATAAGAAGACTTGAGTAATTCAAGTGCTTTAGACTGTTGTTGAAGAAGCTACTTGAAGAAAGAAGAGCACACCTTGAAGCTACAATAAAATGTAATATTTTTAGTGTGTATTAGGTTCTTCTGATGTACTTAATTCTGTTTACATATAGCTCGTGTAGAAGTATTATTATTATAAACAAATGTAAATCAAACACTTGTTTGATGGTTCCTTAGAGAATCGATTGAGTCAGAATTCTCAAGAAGACTTTGGCTGCGACCATCATAGATGAAATCCTGGTAGCGGATTCTATTGGGTAAATGGTAGTCATATCTCAAAGGGGATTGAGTGACGACCAACCTTCTGAGATCACTGATAGATATCATTGGAAGGAAAATCTGGTAGGAGATTCCGGTGAATCAGATTCTATTGGGTTAATGAACGTTATATTCAATCTGAATCCCTGAACGCGTCATCAGATATTAGTCACCGGCAGTTTCCCATGCAATTGTAATGAAATTGATTATAACGGATTAAGTCCTTGAGATCAAGGCGAATCACCTCGGAAGGATGGACTGGACTAGCTTTGTGGTTTCTCAAGTGAACCAAGATATACCGCGTGTTCTTTACTTTTGATAGAAAAGTATAGATTTTTTTCTTAAGATTCGATCTCCGTAGAAATCTATGGAAAAAAGGATATGGAAAATTAGAGGTGGGGATGAGGAAAAAATTGGGGGCGGGGCGGAGAGCAGAGAAACATCCTCCAAATATTCTCTGCCCTATTGACATCCCTACGCATCCCACAAATTCACTTTTTAAGTAAAATTCAAACCAATAAATTATTTGACTAAAAACAATTATATATATATATATATATATATATATATATATATATATATATATATATATATATATATATATATATATATATATATATATATATATATATATATATATATATATATATATATATATATAAAACTGACACACGTTGTTTTAATTAAAAAAGATATGCATTAACAATGTAAAATAGTTTTATACTATCATCCATAGAGAATTTATTATTCAACAATGTCATACCATTAACTTAAAAATTACATTATAATGTAGCGTGATACATAATTAAGAATGTCAACGGGACAAAGAATGTTCAGAAAATGTTTTTCTGCTCCTCGCCCCCAAATTTATTCTCCATTCATGTTCTTAATCCCGTCACGAGAGAATATTTTCCGCATCCCCATCCCCACATATCTCCACTGATGGAGATCAAATATTAAGAAAATTTATATACTTTTTGATCAAAACTATGACACTAGTATTTCGTTATTTTTTCATTTTTGTTTAAAAACACATATATTTTGTGTCTTTATTTAAAAAAAAATTAAAATACATCTTGCATCAATAACAAACAAAAAGGCAAAAACACTCATTGTTGCTAATATTTTTTCTGTAAAAAAATAAATATTAACAAAACTTGTTGCTACTATGCTTCCGCTTATTTACTATCACAATACCATTGTCGTTCAACACAAGTGGTTGATTATGTTTGAGTGTGAAAAATCCATAACTGCTAATTTATTAATTGAATGAAAAACATGTTACTAATGGAAGTAAAGTGAGTTTGAAGAGTAATCACCATAAGTACAATGAACAAATGAGAGTGGTTGTTGTGATGGTGATGATAACATAGGAGATAATGAACGAAGGAGAAAAAAATAATTGAAAAAAATAAAAAGAAGAGACGGGTGTACATTTTATGTATTAGGTGTACTTTTCAAGAGTTGTGTATTTGGATAATGAAACAATACATTATACAATAAACCATAAAAATAAAATGATCCACTTATGACTCTTCATTTTTTAATACATTAATATTTTTTTATATAAAATATATAATCATATAATATATAATATATAAAATATAAAAGTTAAATAATATACTCGAAATCGAATAATCAACATAAGAGAGATTACTTTTGCAATCTCCGTCCTAAAGTATCATCGCCATAACTTTTCCTTCTATCTCTATTTTAGAAAGGAAAAAATCTCTAACTTCGACGTCCCCTAGATCACGTGCCTAACCTATTTTCTCATTAAAAAATAATATCTAACGCGGTGAAGAGTAAAGTGTATTAAGAAAACTAATAAAACAAAAACAAAAGAAAAAAACGTTGTAGCTGTGTTTCAGAATCCTTGCTCGTTAAGGAAGAAGAACAACAACATCAAAACAAAAAGGTTACACTCACCAATCTCTTTACCTTATTCAATTTCTATTTTCTCTCTCATTGAAATCACTATTACTCTTTCTTCGATACCCTAAACCTCACCGCAAGTTTTGATTTCTGTGTTTTATTTTATCAATTTCTCTTTGTTGTTTAGGAACTGATTCTGATCGAAACCCTAACCGATGTCGATGCTCAATTCGTTTTTCGCTCAGGGTTTTAAGGCTTCTAAATGGTACTGTTTATATTTCTTTTGTCTCTTGTTGATTTTTTACTTTTTTTGTTGCTGCTATGGAATTTGTATATAACTTTTTCAGATTTTACATTAAATATATGTTTGTAATTATTATATGTACTTTGTCCATAAAATTATGAAATAGAGTGGCCGTCCCATCCCGCCATACGCTATCCTGCTATCCCACTTTTGGGGTCGGCCGCTCTCTGCCGCTATCCGGGAATAACTACTCTGATTTTACCTCAGAGTATCATGCCATGTACTCCCTCCGTAACGGTTTATAAGGGAAAAAAACACACTTTTCTTACGGAGGAAGTACTAGAGTTAATCATAAAAAGAATATAGTGTTTTAGATTATGGTAAAATCTATGACACTAGGTTCTTTTCATTGGGGCTAATTCAAATACTCAAAACTAGTTTGTTAGGCAAGGATTGTCCATATCTCGTGTTTTTCCTTATATATCTCCAGAAACTGATCCAGAATAACATCAATTGCCATCTTTTATTATGGTTTAATTCAAACCCAGCAGTCTTGTGTGTAAGTTGAGGATTTCCTAAGCTTCATAAACTCGATTTAGGCCATATCTGCAACCAATGTTGGACTTCAGTTTTTCCCTATATAGTCATTATATGAAGAAAAAAAGGACCAAATTTTGGAAGAACCGATACATTGTTTTGGGCAAGATTTTCTGAATAGACTTGAGGACTAACTATCTTCAAGCAACTAACAGAGTTGGAGGTGGAACAAATTGCAAATTTAATGAGAGAAGTAAGGCAAAGGTTAATGACCAAAGATATACGTCTTTCTATTACTCGTAGTGATTGATTCTAGAGACTAGAGAGTCGTAGGTTCAGCCTTCTATTCTCAGCTATTGAAAGCAACGTTAATATGTTCCGTGGAACACCTGCTGGGGATTTAAGTGCTTAGACCTTGTGTTGCCTCTCGTTTTCATGAGTGTACCCTGGTTACCGGCGTCCATTTTCTGCGCAATATATTTCCTTCACGTTCAAGATTTTAGCAAGTAATAAAGTCCAAACACAGATTTATAATGCTTTGGGATTTAAGTGTACGGAATTCACCATGAGTGTTATAAAATTGTTCTCCCAAAGATTTCCTACCAGGCTATACAAATTTTAGGGCCCTTGCTTATTTTGGCGAGGACAAAAGAAGCTGAGATACAACTTTTTTAGAAGCAAGGGACAAAAGACTCAAAATGAAGGAAAAGCTCGATTACCCACTAATATGTTGCAAAACAGGTGTTATTCCTGTGAATGTTAGGGGGAATCAATTTTTAAAAAAAATCAGGGTTCACGCATATGTGTTATTTACACAAACTTAAGGGGAGATGAAGACAATTTTGTATATTTTGTTTTTTTAATTGATCAATTGATTTTCTAATACGGGGTTGCCTTATACTCTATGGGCACATGTTACTTAGAACAATCAAATTTAACTGTTTATATGTGAGTTGCCAGTATTGTATTTCACTTTAATTTAAATAATTATTGTCATCTGTACAAGAGTTCTGTTTTATTGCCATTTTTCCTTTCGACTTTGTGATTAAAATTTAAGTATTAATTTAAAAGTTTCACACTTGCAGCAAAACTCTGCTTAAACTGTCAATTCCGCGGATAAAGTTACTCAGAAACAGAAGAGAAATTCAATTGAAGAATATGCGACGTGAGATTGCCAAGTTACTTGAGACTGGTCAAGAAGCCACGGCTCGTATTAGGGTATACCATTTTGCATATTGCATATTTATTTAGTTTCAAAATTTGAAAGCAATGGGGTTTCGAAGAAAATCTTCTGTCGTTTTTTTCTTTTATGATGCTGTTATTGATATATGATCATCTATGCAGGTAGAACATATTATTAGAGAGGAGAACATGATGGCTGCTCAAGAGATCCTTGAGCTCTTTTGTGAACTTGTTTCTGTCCGCCTTCCAATTATTGAATCTCAAAGGTATTTTAAAGAGCAAATGAATATCTGGATGATTACCTTAGCCTTTGTTTGATAATAAATGTGATTTACGTTCAAGCTAGCCGATCGTTAAAAATGATGCCTTACCAAACTGACCAAATAGTAACTAGCGAATGGTGTATTTGTTTTATAACAAAACAATACAAAATGCACTTTGTTTATGATGGTGTTTGGTTAGTAACTAGTAAGCTAAGAAGTGGCGATGAATATATTCATAACCCTGAGTTACATAAGTGGACATGCAAGAAAAATATAAAATTACAAATTGAGTTTGCCAAGTCAGTATAGCACCTAAGAGGAGAAGAATATGAGAACTTTTGTAAGGTGATTTGGTCACCCACAAAGTCTCATGTAAGAAAAGAGGATTTAATTGAATACAATCCAATTAAATGAGGTAGAGGAAGACTTAAGAAAATGTTAGGACTGGCAGTGCACAAATTGAATTACTTATTATTGCTCACAATATATGGTTGAGCTCTGCCAATGGGGCAAGAACTACACCCGAGTACAAAATGATGAATCGACTGAAAATGAGAACAAACTCTCTTGAGGCATTCAAGAGGCCTTTCTCTCCCACACTAGGACTTACAACCAAACTCCTTTCTCCTACTAGCTGACTCCTATTTAACCTCTCCTATTGTATCTAACTGCTGTTGCTGCCATACTAAAAGTTGTTACAAATGTTAATTCCTCTTAACTGATGGACGACTAACAATACTCCCGCCCAATTGAGTCACATTGTCCTCAAGGGGAAAAGAGGGAAAGGAACACTGAACAGCGTCCATAGTTCCTCAACACGTAATGGTGCCACTTATGTACTGCAAACACGACCTCCATTAGCTCTCTTTCATAGACAGCTTTCTTCTGTGCTCTTTCTGACAACCCTTGGCTGAAAAATGCAAGTGGTTTACCTTTCTGTTGTAATACAGCCACTGCCCCTTTACTAGATGCATCTATTTTCAAGGTGAATCCTATGTAAAAAATTGGTACTGCAAGAGTCGGCAATTCAGCCACTGCTTGTTGCTATTTATTGAAGGCTGTTTCTGTCTCTTTGGTCCATGGGATACTACTCTTCTCTAAAAGCTGGGTTGAAGGTTTGTCTATTTGACCATACCATCTAACAAATCTCCAGTAGTGTCCCATCAAGCCAAGGAACCCTCTCAATCTTTTCACCTCTTTAGGCTCTGGCTAAGACGGCATTGCTTCAACCTTCTGTGGGTCAGCTTCAACCCCTGTCCCCAATACAATGTGGCCTAGATATTCCTGTTTTCTTTGACCAAAATTGCATTTCTTTTATGTTAACTACCAATCAATGTTGTCTCAGCATCTCCATCACTGTTCTCAAATGCGGTACATGCTCCTCCGTAGTGTTAATGTACGGCTGCAAATTGGTGTTATCTGCTCCCTCCTTTAATGTGATGACGTGATCATGCTTCCTTGATGGTGGTAAACTTTGAGACTCTTGAAACACCTCTTCAAAATCTTCAAAGACAGTTGGGACTACTGGTAGGACTTCAACATTGCTTCCCTGTTGTTGTTGTTGTTGTATGATGTTACACTCAATTAGAAAGCCTACTTCCTCATTGCAATAGCTTTCATAATTGATTTGAAAGATGCAGATGACCTTGCCATGATTGGTTCTCCTTTTAATACAGTAACCTTCCCTTCTACTTTTAGAGACATTGTTTAGTCCCTGAAGTTTGTTCTAAGTTCTCCCAATCCCGCAAGCCATTCGACTCCTAGCACCACATATGTCCCTCCTAGCTCAAACAAGAAGAAGTCTCGTTGAATCCTAAGACTTTGGAACTGCATTTCTAACAATCTACAAACACCTTGGCTGCTGATTTATTTCAAACTATGCGCAGCTACCCAAAATGTCCCGACTATCACAATCATCCTCTATGTGTACTACTTTTGTAGTTGACAAACTTATTTACAACTATATTTGCTCCAAATTTTTAAACTAGTGATGAACTACCGTTGATGGTTTTCAATTGCTATATATGAGTTGCGACCACCCTTTCTATTTTTTCACAAGATTTTAGTTGAATTTTGTCATTCATCTCTCATGAGAAGAAATCAAAGAAAGAGAAAAATCAATTTCCAATATCTATTATTTCTTTTTTCCCCTGTAGCAACATGGCTGTTACTTGTCTCGCCATACTTTATGTTTTATACTAGTTTCTTTTTCCTTTTTTCATTTTTCCTTACTTATTCTGAAGATCTATAATACGTTCTTCATTATGAAAATAATACATTTGATTCCATCACCCATGTCCACCAAATGAAGTGATATGAGTGTAACATGGAAAGAATACATACACTGCAAATAAACATACATATATTTTTTTTCGATTGAATTTTTCTATATTACCCGATTATTAGAATAATTGGGAAAGGTGAAAAACTAGGAATCTTGCTCAATTGTATGTATTTGAGAACATGACAGGTGCTAAATTGTTCAAGGGAATTTTAAATGTTGTTCAGGGAATGTCCCCTAGACTTGAAGGAAGCTATATCTAGTATATGTTTTGCTGCACCTAGGTGTGCCGATTTGCCAGAGTTGTTGCAAGTTCAGTTGCAATTTGCAACCAAATATGGGAAGGAATTTATTTCTGCTGCTACTGAGCTCAGGCCAGATTGTGGTGTTAATCGACAGGTTCCATTAATTTTCATAATATACAGACACTTATTTTTCTGTGGATAAAGCATCTTACATAGGAGTTTATTTTCTTGTATGATATTCTTAATGTGAGTTACAATTGCAGTTAATAGAGCTGCTGTCAATTCGTGCTCCTTCACCAGAAAAGAAACTCAATCTTCTAAAAGACATTGCTACTGAACATGAGCTAGAGTGGGATCCAGCTACTTCTGAAATTGAAATGTTTAAAAAACATGAAGACTTACTGGTAAGTATGTTTCTGTAATAAGTAGCTAGAAGGAGGGAAAAATGATCATGCTATGCTCAATTTGTTCTTTCACACACCATTATTTTACAATACATCCTCTCCTTTTCAGAATGGCCCAGCGGAGTTTTTTAATGGGTCAAAATTGCCCCTTCCTGAAGAAAAACATGAGGAGCAGTTGTATTCCACTCATGATACACCCAAAAAAGAGCAATTTGATTCTGATTCGGACTCTGACATGTTGGACTTTCCGGAAGTTCCAAAGGTATCTGTCCAGCCAAGTGCAAATTTTGCCACAGCTCCTGATATGGTTATACCTCCAGCAGCTATGCCACACCCTAAAGTTGATTTTCATTCATCAAGCCATTCTGGAGAATTTGCAGATATGAAGCAGGAACACATTGAGTCAACAGTTCACCGAGATGAACCACATGCTTCATTTGATAAAGTGGAAAGTAAACAATTTTTGCCATTCATCTCCCCTCCATCAGAATCATCTGGATCATATTATGCAATGCATAGTGACTCACCATCAGAATCATTTGCATCATATGGTGTAAGGCATAGTGACTTGCCTCCCTTGTCAACTGCAAAATCTATCTCGCCTCCGTCAGAACCATCTGCATCATTTACTGCAACAAGGCATAGTGACTCAGCTCCCTCTTTATCAACTGTAAAACCCGAAGCTAAGGACTTCTCTTTATCAACTGCAAAATCTGAAGCTAATTTGGACCTGCAAGATGTTGTAGCTGCCGCACATGCTGCTGCCGAAACTGCTGAACGTGCGGCAGCTGCGGCTCGTTCAGCAGCCAGCCTTGCTCAACTCCGTATTAGCGAGCTTACCAAGATGAGAAGTAATGAACATATACCTGAAGATAGCTCTGAGAATCCATTTTATGCTGGAGGCAATAATGAATCTACAACAGAAAGGGATCATTTCACTGAGCAAAATGCTGCAAGTAACCCTGATGGCAATGTTATTAAGGATCATGATATTCACTATAATCATTATGATTCCAAACGCTCTCATTCATCAAGTTTTCCTTCATTTGACACACACAAGGAAGATTTTGATTCTTCTCTACCCACTGATCATGGTTTGGATGATAGATCCAATAGTCACCAGCCTAAGAGATTACCTTCAATGGAAGACGACCCATATTTCTCATATCCCAACTTATTCACCTCTCAAAACTCAAATATTGGATCTCACACTCATTCAGATAATAGCCGCACCACTTATGACATGTGATGGGGAATTATCATTCAACCACACATTTTCGTCAGTCCGAACTCTGAAATCTTGCTTGTGAGTGTGTTTTATGCTGTTGAAGAATCCACCATATTTTTCTTTTTCTTTTCAATGAGCATGCAATTCCTGTCTATACTAATATCTTTTTAGTTACATACTATGGCTGGCTTTGCCTAATGAACAATACGGAAAATATTTATTTGCTTCTGTCCAAAAGCCTCTGTTTGTGCTTTGTGGGGCTGATACAATGTGCAAATCTGAGAGTTTCAGAAAAAAACCATTCAGCTTCGATTTTCTTTACTTACATTATAGGAGGATACGGGACATGTAATACAACTTCATTTGTAATTTTATTGTAATATTGTTGCATACTGCCGTGTGAATGTTATCGCTTTACTTGCATCTGATTTTATCACATCTTTAGGTTTCTGGTTCAGTAAACACTCGATTTGTGCTTCTAGGTTTCTCAATTCAGTATTTTCCAATAGACTGTCTTACATTTACTGGTTTTTCGGGGCAGCTATTAAAAGAATGACACTTGTTTTCTGTATAAACAAACCTCCTACAACTAAAAACTGACTCTACCATGATCTCCTCGGCCACCCCACGACCACAACCGTGTCCACCACGACAGTCAAAACTCAAAACAAAATTCAAATAAGCATTACAATTGAATTTCCTAGGCAGCCATTTGAACTTGAACTCATACTTCTAAGATAGCCAGAATCCAGACCAGAAAGGAACATCACATATATTGTGCAAAGAACATCAAAACAATCAAAATAACTTAAGAATGTGAGACACTATAATAGTATAAAATATTGTCAAATAGAATTTATACGATGCTATATAAATATTGCCTTGTGGAATTTGTATAACTACTATTTGATATTATTAGTGACTGCCAACACTTACTGTTAATTGTTATTTTTTCTGTTTGTTTACTTGTAATTTTTTGTGTTTGTTTGATTGTTTTTTTTTTACAATAGCAAAACTAGCTTCTTTCATTACTTAACAAAGATTCAATACAAGGAGAAATATTATGAATAAAATTACGCCTAATTAACGAGTGAACAACTATATTCTATTTGATTGTTTGTTTTAGTATTTGAATATTTGTGCTTTTCATTTAAGAGATACATCTTGTCGCAATGATTGTTTTTTTTTTCTTTCTAATGATGAATATATTGACTATTATATCTCATACATATGTATGTCTTGTGATGATTTGTATATGCTTTATCAACCAAACTTTTGACTGCATAAAAACAGAATGCATGTGCCTGAAATATTTACATCATAGTTAAGGTGCTATACATGATGTCGGTACAATTTGGACAATGGAAAAACAGTTAACGTAGAATCAATGTATCATCTGATATGTTTGTAGCCGCACTATCTCGGGAGAGCGACACAAAGCTGTTTTTTGGGCTTGGAGTGGGTCGGGGGACGGAGTGCTTCCCGCCTGTAGCAGGTTTCAACCTCTATCTATTTGTTTTGAATGCGAAAAACCATTTTTATCCTTAAAAAATAAATGTTGGAGTTTTTCTGAAATTTTGTCTAGTTAGCTCTAACTCAAAATAAAGAGAATTTGTCTTTTTACTTTCTCATGCATTTCGTTGGAAGTAATTCATATCTAGAAGTTGTTAGAATCAGAAGCCTCTGAGACTATTACTCAAAAGCAGTAGAACTTCTAAGGTTGTTAGTCAGAAGCTTCTAAGGTTGTTAGTCAGAAGCTGTAAGTTTTTAAGACTACTTAGTTAGAAGTAGTAGTTTGATATATTCAGAGGTTGTATTAGTTAGAAACAAAAGCTTCTGAGGTTGCGCCCAGAAGTATGTTTAGCTTCTGGGTTCTAGTTTGTTTGTTAATTTAGCTATTAAGTTAACTTAGTCTTTAAGTTTGTTTATGTCTACGTGACAATTTATTTTGTGTATATATACTAGTTTGTAACTAGGATTTTATTAAGAAATAATGTGGAAGAAAGTTGAGATTTTAATATATAATTTTTTCCTTAACAAGTTGTTGTAGTACTCTCTCTCTCTCTCTCTCTCTCTCTCCATCTTTATTTTCATCTTCAATCTTGTGCACCAATAATTAGTATCAGAGCTTCGATTAGATTCATAGAGAAACACAAGTGCACGTGAAACGTGTTTAGTTGATTTCGTTAAATCTTGAATTCACGTTGAATTTACGAACACAACTGTAGTAAAATTGCATTTCTTGATTATGCGGGATTGAGAAACACAAGTGTTTGGTGAGATCTGAGATCTGTGTGGTTTTAGTGCATATAAACGAAGATGAGTGACAGGAGCAGTTTGAATATTAAATTTTCGGTGTTTGATGGAAAAATTGGAATGGGTAGATGATTCAAATGCATGTGTTGTTCGGTGCTCAAGATGTGATTGGTTTTGTCACTGAAGGTTATGTTCTGATTGCAGCACATGCAACAGAGGAATAAAGGACTGCAGAGAGATACGAGGAAGAAGGACCAAAAGACGTTGTTTTATATTCATCAGTGTATGAATGCGAATGTGTTTGAGAAAATTGTTGATTCCACAATGATGAAGGCTGTTTGGAATATACGAATACAATGCTACGGTGGTGATGCGCTAGTGAAGAAGGTGAAGCTTCAATCTCTACGTAAGCAGTATGAGAATCTCAACATGAAGAACAATGAGAAAGTACTAGATTATATTTCTAAAGTAATTTTGATCACAAATGAGATGAAATCGTATGGAGAAACCCTTTCTGAACAAGTAATCATTGAGAAGATATTGAGGTCTCTTACTCCTCAATTTGATTACAGTTGTAGCAATTGAATATTCTAAAAATTTGAGTACCATGAGAATAGAAGAGTTGCAAAGCAGTCTAGAGGTGCAATAGTTGTGTCTGACTGAAAGAACCTCTGAGTGGGAGGTAGACCAAGCTCTGAAAGTTTCTTTTGTCAAGAAGGATCAGAAGCAAAAAAGACATGGTAATTCTCAGAAATTAGAAGCCTTCTACTCCGATGAGAAGAAACATTAGAAGGGAAAGGAGAAGTATGACAAGAGAATGGTTCAGTGTTATTGTTGTAAAAGGTTTGGTCACTTTGCTAAAGATTGTTGGTCAAATAAAGAGGAAGCAAAAATAATCAAAGAAGATTCTGATGATGAATCTGTGTTATTGATGGCTTATGAATTTGATGAGGAATCTATGCGGTTGTCATTTTCTGATTTTGAAGGGGAAGGAAAATTTGAGTAAGAATCAGAAGATGACTTTTAAGATTCTGAAGATGAGTCAGAATCTGAGGTTGCGGAAGATGAGTTAGAGTTAAAAGTTGACTCTGAAGCTGAAGACAAGTCAGAATCTGAATGTGATTCTGAGTCTGAAGGAGAATCATAAGATAAGTCAAAATCTAAAAGAGATTCTGATTCTGAAGACGAGTTAGAACCTGAAGACGAGTCAGAGTCTGAAGGTGACTGAAGAAGAAGACTCTGAAGGCGAGTCTAATTTTGATGGTGAATCTGATTCTGATATATATTCTGATGGTGATCCATAATTTGATGGTAATCATGACTCTGAAGGTGGACCTTCTAAAGGAGGAGTTTTTAAAGGTAGTCTAGCTTCTAACAACAATCATGTTTCTAAAGGTGATCCAACTTCTGGAGGTGGTCAAGTATCTGACATTGTTTCAGAATCAGAAGAAGATTTTGTACAAGTTTAGAGGCCACAATAATCAGACAAGTATCAAGAAGATTTGCAGAGTTTGACATGCTGCAAGAGACTGAAGTAGATTTCGAGAGAGAAGTCATTCAATGTGTCATGTTAGTAAATTCGGAATTAGCGGGTATTGAAGAAGCTCTCAAGGAGAAAGTGTGGTTGAATGCCATGAAAGAAGAATTTGAGGCTATAGAAAGAAACAAGACTTAAGAGTTAATTGAGCTTTCAAAGGAGAAGAAAGCCATCAACGTCATATGAGTTTTCAAGGTGAAGTCTAAATTTTTAAATGGAGTATTAGAAGTTTCACACTGTAGCACCCAGAAGTTACTTGCACATGTTATAACAAAGGATGTCAAGATCAACACTTTATCTATTTTAGGGATGAAATTGGTGTTGTAGAATTTATGTTAGCTGAATATAAATTAAGGGATGGTGTTGGAAGTAATTCATATCCATAAGTTGTTGTTAAAATCAGAAGCCTCCGAGGCTATTACTCAGAAGAAGTAGAGTTTTAGAGGTTGTTAGTCACAAGCTGTAAGCTTCTTAGACTGTTTAGTTAGAAGTAGTAGTTTGATATATTCAAAGACTGTGTTAGTCAGAAGCAGAAGTTTTTGAGGTTGCGCTCAAAAGTATGTTTAGCTTACGGGGTTCTAGTTGGTTTGTTAATTTAGCTATTAAGTTAACTTAGTCTTTAAGTTTGTTTGTGCCTACGTGACAGTTTACTTTGTGTATATATAATAGTTTGTAACTAGGGTTTTATTAAGAAATAGTGTGAAAGAAAGTTAAGATTTTTATAATTTCTTCCTCAATAAATTGTTGTAGTACAATCCTCTCTCTCTCTCTCTCTCTCTCTCTCTCTCTCTCTCTCTCTCTCTCTCTCTCTCTCTCTCTCTCTCTCTCTCTCTCTCTCTCTCTCTCTCTCTCTCTCTCTCTCTCTCTCTCTCTCTCTCTCTCTCTCTCTCTCTCTCTCTCTCTCTCTCTCTCTCTCTCTCTTCATTTTTATCTTCATCTTCAACCTTATGCACCAACACATTTCACTTAAGTTCTCATCATTTTCACCCATAACTCAGAAAACTCTCTTTTCTCATGCATTTCACTTCATCGTTTCCATCCATAACTCAGAAAACTCTCTTTCGTCTTCTCACTTGGCTGATTTCTCCTTTCCTAGCATCGCCTGGTGCATTCGTTTCTCACAACGCCACCGTCTTCTGCATTCCTCTCTTCTCGAGTTGATTTTCGATTTTTTTTCCTTCTCTCTTCTTCCTCTCTTCTTCTTTCTATACTCTCAATGTCCTCTGTTTTTTTCTATTTTCTTTCTTTCTTCTCTTCATAGTGTCCTCCATACTTTTTTTAAGTAATGATAATAATAATAATTTAATAATCTATTTTCTTTCTTCTCTTCATAGTGTCCTCCGTACTTTTTTTAATAATAATAATAATAATAATAATAATAATAATAATAATAATAATAATAATAATAATAATTTAATAATTTTATAAGATGTGATGTTTTAAATTTGATTAAGATTGTTAAATTTATTAAGAATTTTTTATTAAGCCATGTGCTTTAATATATTTTATGAATCTTTTATATGTATTATGTTATTTGTTTAGTTTTTTCATTAAATATATGTTTTTAAATTATTATTCATATAGTTAGTTTAAAAAATAGTCAAATATCATTATTTCACTATTTAATTTCTGTTATTTTGCTATTTAATTTTTGGAGTAAGCCGCTCTACTATGTTGTATGGGATTATGGAATTGATCCAAATTGTCTAACATGCTCTCTTATATTATAAAGAGTCACTGCATAGAACTTAGTATAACAATATAATTAACTATAATTATCCTTTAGGATTTTTAGCTTCTCAAATCAAAAGGCAAATTGAAACATTGATTTAGAGTTGATTTGATTCTCAAATATTTTCATAGAAGCAATCCAAATTGAATCAAACAACATATTTAAATCTTTGGATAATGACTTCATTTTTTTTTTACTCAAAATTGATCCAAAGTGATTAATAACACCCTATTTAGTACTATTATGCATAAATTAATTTCCACACACATACAAAAGCTGTTACATATATAGCAAAACCTACATGGAGAAGGATAGTGTGATTGAAAGAAATATTACATAATTTAAATCTATGGATCAACATTTCTGCTTATACTAATAGACTACAAGTCACAAGAACTACTAGCTTTGAAATATATGTGAGCAAGTATTAATTAATTAACTAATTAATTAATTAATTAATCCCAGGGCTTGATCCTTTACTAAGATCTGATCTTCTTGGTCCACCACGCCTAATTATCAAAGTTCTCATAATCTGCTATAAGAAAAAGAGAATACATAGTTATAATTGATAATGTAGAAAGAAATTAAAAAAAAAATATATAGAAAAATACTTTTAAAAGAGAGAAAAAACTACTTACAAAACCTTTGAGTAGTGCTTGTTGAACATTCCTCTTGTTCTGCACATGTAAGAACATTATGGGAACTTTCATGTTCATTTCTTGATTTGTTTACTTCAGTTCCAAGATCCTCTTCTGTGTGATCTGAAGGATTTTTTAGTTCATGTTCTTTTTTGTTGGTTTCAATCTCAAAGCCTAAACATTTGAAGAAAGTTCCAAGGAATTTTTGGAGTAGAGAACATGGATGATAAAGATAAAATATAGTAGTCCTCTCATTTGTAACCTCTGCCTCTTCATTCTTTTCCATTGCTCTTCTTGACTCTTGTTTGTGTCTCATTCTAGTGCTTTAATTGCTATTCAATGTTTCTGTACATTTTAGGAGGTTGGTACCATTATTAATGACTTGCCACACCAATTTTTCATCAATAGGCACTTTTTGTCTATTGTACTATTTAAAATAATTATTTGATTATAAATTTGTATTGGATAAATATTTTTAAAATTCAATGGTTAAACTATATATATATATAAATATATATATATATATAATATATATATTATATATATATATATATATATATATATATATATATATATATAAGGTTGAGAAAAACATAAGAAAGGTGAGTTTGAATGGGTTTTCAAAAACTTTTTCGTTTAGAAGTACTTTACTCAAACAATCAAAATAAAATCAATGTTATAGAGAGAAATAATCACACTTTCGATTTATACATGTTCACCTTAGAAAAGACTAACCTTGTCCACCCGTCAATGTGATTTCGCCTTAGAAAATGACTTAATCCACTAATCTTAAAAGATTACAGATGCACGGGATATCCGCCGGTGACTAACAACAAACAATGATAACATGTTAGTGATCCCTTAAGAATTGTGACCTTGACCTATCCGGTCCCTTGAAGGAGATTTCTCTAAATCTTCTTGAGTATTATGACTAAAACCTTAGTCACTCAAGGAACAATCAACTTACAGTTGAATAATGTGTTTACAAGGTTGTTTCTTATAAAAAGGATTACATAAATGTTTAAGTACATATTGTTTAACACAAATAGGAGCAACAACTCTTGTGTTCAAACAAATTACAATAATAACACAATAATGAGCAACAACTCTTGTGTTCAAACAAATTACAATAATAACACAATAATGAGCAACAACTCTTGTGTTATAGCAAATAATAATATCAATACAATAATGAGCAATAATTCTTGTGTTTTAATCTTTTTCTTTTTCTTGCTTTGATTTGGACAACATTACTGTTCTTGTTCTCTAGTCTTCCAGTTTGCAAATGAAACTGTTGATCCTTTATATAGACTTTGAAGAAGTAGACCATTGCAGTAGTACACACGTCATTTTCATATTGCCAACTGTCAACGATAAGAAACGATTGTGGGAGATAAATAATACACAATACATCCATTTGAGTGGAATGTGTAATTATACATTTGCACTAACTCTTCTAGCGCATGTTTCTGATGATACTGTCTTCTGATGAATATTACTTCTGATGAAGTAGATTAGCTTGAGAAGATATCATATTTTGATCTTGTCTTCTGATGAACTATTTGATGTAAAATAGTAATGAGTCCAGAAGATCTAACTTTTCTTGATCTGTCTTATGATGGAATACTTATGATGTAAAGTAATGTACGCACATTCCACAAAGTATTCAAGTCTTCAGAATCTTGACTTTGCCTTCAGAATTAGAAGCAACAACTTTTCTGATGAATAAATCTTGACTTCTGACTAGAAAGTAGAAGCTTTTATTTGATATGTTCAGAATTTTGACTTTGTCTTCAGAATTAGAAGCAGTAGCTTTTCTGATGAACAAATATTGACTTCTGATTTGGAAGTAAAAACTTTTCTTTGATGTGTTCAGAACCTTGACTTTATCTTCAGAGTTAGAAGCAATAACTCCTCTGACGAACAAGTCTGACTTCTGATCTTTGACACAAAAGCTTGTTTCTGGTGCAATTTTGTTTTCTGATCTTGGAGCAGGAGCTCTTACAAAAATCATTTGTTATAGAATTTTTGTAACTTTTGAATCAACAACTTATTGAGAAGTACGCAGGAGATCCTCTTTCTGGCGAACATTCAACATTCTTCATAACTAGTGATATTTCTTTAGAAGCAGATGCAATAGCTTTCTGATGCGTTCTTAGTATATTTCTGATGATTCTTCATACAACAGTCCTGAATAAATTAGAACTTCTAATTTGCACACTCAAGAAACTATTAGAAATAAAATTGTTTACATATAAAATATATGTATTGTTATAATCAAAATCCAGAGATTAATTGTAGAGTCCAAATCTTGTTCTAATAATCTCCCCCTTTTTTATGATGATAAAAATATGTATTTTGATGTAACAATTTTACAAGGTAATATCATAATCGAATCAGAGTTAAGAAGAAAACTTCCCCTGATTAGCGTGAGCTCCCCATGAGTCTAAGACTTACAGTTTTTAAAAGGAAGGGATATCCGAGCATTTTTTTAGAAAACTCCCCTTGAGTTAAACAATCTCCCCCTAAATCTAAAACTTAAGACCTTATCATAAACTAGGATTTTCTGAGCTTGGTTTTCACTTTCCAGAATTCTGATTGAAGTACGTGGAAGCGATTTATCATAGTTTGCTATATCATAATTTCTTTCTTCATTAAAACCTTCTAATCATTAGAAGTTCTTTATCTTGTACATAAAAACAGATTCTAAAACTCTTGCATATATAATTCGTTAGAAATGTAAGCAATGCGATTTAGAGAACTAAGTATGCATCAAAATCATCATTATGCTTTTCCCCCCTTTTTGTCATAATCAAAAAGATATTTCATTGATTGATCGGATATAGAGTACACAAGAAAAACAAGATAAGATAGAACAAAAAAAACAAAACAAGATTTCCTAGAAGTGCCTATGGGTTATAAGAAGATGGAAGTTTCTAAATAATATGCATGAGCATATCCGAAAAGCTTATGTTGAAAGCTTCCTGATTATCAAATTTTTCATTGACACACGCTTGTTCCTTTTTCAATTCTTCAAGAGTTTGTAGAAAAATTGAGTCTTTTGGAACATTTGAAGTTTCTACTACTTCCTTTCCAATGACATCGTTTCTGGAAGCCTCTTCTTCAGCCCGTTTCTTAGTCATTTCTTCTTGAGCAGCTCCTTCCTGTGTATTTTTCTTAGCTTCTTCTTCTTCAACTCTTTTCTTAGCAGCTTCCTCTTCTGCCTTTTTCTTAGCTTCTAAAGCCATATATCTCTCTTCTGCTTCTTTGAAATTTTTTTCTCGTAACTGTTCATCAAATTTCTGATTGTAAGAAACTCATCAACCATCCATTCTTTAAACTGATGCCAAATAGAGTTCAAGTGAGAAGAATCAATGCTTGAACTAGATTCTTATCCGAGCTCATTGATCTTCCTTATTGCATCTTCCTTGAAGATAGCAATTATTTCTTCCAAGTTTAGGTTCGAAGGAGAATGTGATACGGTGGCAGAACCGACTGTTTTTACTGGTTTGCTTTTTTTATTCGCAAAATGTTGCGGTAAGCAAGAGTCGCCACCGACTTTTATTTCATCCAACAAAGGAAAAGGAAAAAGAACAGAAAAAACCTTTTTCGAGATGTTTCTGAGTACGGGGGGTAGATTATAGAAAGGGAAGGTGCTAGCACCCTTTCTATCCATGATTTTCCATGGACTCTTAGGTACTTGCTCATTTTGAAATTGCTTGTGCGTGCTTTGCTTTGAAAAGTTTTGTTTTTTTTTTGTTTTAACCCTTGTTTCTGTCCTCAAGAGTGTTACGAAGTTGTTTTTGAAAACTATTTTGAAAAGTTTGTTTGAAAGTGTATGGTGTAAAAGATTTTTCGTTTTGAGCAAGTACCTAACAATTATCTACTTACTCAAAAAAAGGCGTTCTTTTCCTCCTATCCTTTAGATCGTGTTATCCTACTATTAGTGAGTAGGTAATCCTAGTCGTTGGATGTTTGAGGGACTATCGAAAGGGACGTAATGGTCATTGAAGGCAACATGTAAGGATACCTTTGCATTTCGAAGGGACTGTCATCATATATTCGTAGGCAACATCGAGGGACAAGATCATTTCTCGTAGACAACTCGAGGGATATAGAGGGACTATGATCTTTATGATGACTTTTAGATTGAGGGTCTTTTGCTAAGATATCCCTACGTTTGAGGGACATGACTATTGTTTTCTGAGGCAACTAAGTGGGGAGTACCCTAGGGGTGCAAGTGTGCAAAAATGTGTTTTTTCCGTTAATTTATCTTTGGACATTTAGGGTTTTCTACCGTATTAATTTTCAGTTTGTCTTTTCATACAATCCTATTAACATACATCTAAGCAGTTTATAGTTTGCAGAATTAAAAGCAAGAAAGTTTAAAGTCCTAGCTATTACAAGGCTTTTGCAGATACATAATTATTTTAGACTGAAAATAAAAAGGTGGAATTTAAACCCTAATTACTATTACAACCTCGAAACAGTTACAATAATAATAAAAGGAAATTAAAAAATGTGCGCGGCGAATTGAATGCGAGAATACTTTAGGAAACCTAAAAAATCTAATTGAAAAAAGATTTAGGTTAGTTTTTTTTTGAGAAAAATTAATTAGGTTATGTACAAATTAAAACCCTAATTTCTAATTAATTTAAATTATAAAAAATGAATTAAATTTGTCCTAAATTAAATTAAACTAATTAATTAAGGAAATAAAATATTTTTATGAAAAAAATGATTTTTATGTTTTTTTTAATGATTTTTTGATTAAATAAAAAATAATGATTTTTTGGTGTTATTTTAATAAAGGAAAATAACTAGTAAAACAATTAAAAAAATTAAAATAGAAAAGAAAAGAATGAGAATGTGTTGTGCCAGCCTGAGAGTGCACCATAGTCCTTCATTGTTTGAGGCGTTGGATATGAATTATTGATACGTTCAATGGCCAAATGGTGGTAGCGCATGGTAGGCGTTTTGGATGATGATGCATTGAATCTGTAGAAACAAAGTAAGAAAACAAAATTTGCTGGGATGGTTAGTTGTATATATAATAACATAAATAAAATATAAAGGAAATAAAGTGGTCTTTCCCAAACGCGCGCGTGATTCAAATCACCCAATAGGATTTTGACACCTAATTGTCTTCTTCCCCATAACTATTGTTTTGGCCACACTTTTACCTACAGTCGTTTCCGTCACTAAAGGCTATAGTGACGAATTTTGTTCGTAGCCATAAACCTGTAAAATTAAAAAAAACACAGCACAAGCAGAATAAATTCAAACCAAAGACATGGATCAACTGCAAATCATCTC